GCTTTGTTCTTTTTTCTCAAGACTGCTTTGACTATTCGGGGTCTTTTGTGACTCCATACAAATTTTAGGATTGTTTGTTTTATTTCTGTGAAAAATGCCATTGGAATTTTAATAGAGATTGCTTTGAATCTGTAGATGGCTTTGGGTAGTACGGACATTTTAACAATTTTAATTCTTTCAATCCATGAGCACAGAATATCTTTCCACTTATTTGTGTCTTCTTCAATTTATTTCATCGATGTTTTATCAGTGTTTTCTAATATAGTAACAGAGTTGTGCAACTATTACCACAGTAAATTCCAGAATATTTTCATCACCCCAGATAGAAACTCTGCACCCTTAGCTGTCATCCTCCAATCTCCTCAGCCCCTGGAAACCTCTAATCTACTTTTGTTTCTATAGGTTTGCCTGTTCTGGATAGTTCATATGAATGGAATCATGCACTCTCTCTGGTCTTTTGTATCTGGCTTCTTTCACTTAGTATAATTTTTCAAAGTTCATCCATGTTATAGAACTTGTGTCAGAAATTCATTTCTTCTGATTACCACATGACAGTCCACTGTCTGAATAGACCACATTTAGTTTACCCATTCATCAGCTGATGGACATGTGGGTTGTTTCCAGTTCAGGACTGTTATGAGTAATGCTGCTATGAACATTCCTGTACAAGTTTTTGTGTGGATATATATTTTCATTTCTTGTAGGTAGATACCTACGAGTGGAATTGCTGGGTCATGTGGTAACTCTGTTTAAACTTTTGAGGAACAGCCAGACTGTTTTCCAAAGCGGCTGCACCATTTTACATTCTCACCAAGAGTGTCTCAAGGTTCCAATATCTCCTCATTAATACTTATTTTCCGGGGACTTCAGTTCAAGCAGGGTCCCTCTGGCTGTTCTGTGGGCACCAGAAGCTGGGAGCCCAGTGAGGAGTGACTGTATTAGTCCAAGTGGGAGGGCGTGGTGGCTGGGCCAGAGTGGGAACAACAGAGGAGGTAATAAGTGATTGGATTGTGGAGAGAATTTGAAGATGGAGTTAATGGGACTTGTTGCTAGATCATTTGTGGGGTGCGAGAGAGGGAGGGGTGTCAAGAATGACCTCAGGGGGCCGGCCGAGTGGCGCGATGGTTAAGAACTCGCTTGGGATGCCAGAGGGCCCCGGTTCGGATCCCACATATGAGGGCCAGTGACA